TTCTTCTTCTTCTTCTTCTTCTTCTTCTTCTTCTTCTTCTTCTTCTTCTTCTTCTTCTTCTTCTTCTTCTTCTTCTTCTTCTTCTTCTTCTTCTTCTTCTTCTTCTTCTTCTTCTTCTTCTTCTTCTTCTTCTTCTTCTTCTTCCTTCTTCTTCTTCTTTAACTATTTCTTCTTCTTCTTCTTCCTTCTTCTTCTTCTTCTTCTTCTTCTTCTTCTTCTTCTTCTTCTTCTTCTTCTTCTTCTTCTTCTTCTTCTTCTTCTTCTTCTTCTTCACTGTAATACATCGTAACATTTTAATCTATACACACTTTAGCTTCTACATTAGATATAATTACTTTGCCTAATCTACTATTCATGTAGTATTACCACAGTAGCAGTATAAAATCTAACCTTACATGAGCCACTCTTTCTATAACAAATAAATATCCATTCTTGAAACTTATGAATACAACAAATTTTGCTCATAATTCTCTTCCAACAGGTTATGCAAGTCAGGAACATTGTACAACAATAGTTATGCTCACCTGTATAAGACTTCAGCCAATGTCAAATAGCCAAGAATGCTCTTCCACCTCCCACACACTTCTGAAATAAAAACGTCAACATTTATAGAAAAATTATTACAATTTGCCCTTGTACAAGACTTTCTTTTTTCCCCAAAAATGTATGCGCCGTAGGCGACTAGCTAACAACTGGGACGAGCAGTAGTCTACTAAGCACAAACATTACGTTCCTAATATTACTGAAAAACAAACAAAATTATCACAAACTTACGGCAAATTGGACGAACATGTAAATAATGGCTTAACAGCAGAGGGAACCTCACAGTATTCACCAATAAAAATATTTCTTTTTAACTATGGTAAATATAATTTATGCTCACCTGTATATTGTATATAAACGCTTCAGCCAAGGTCAAATATCCGACAAAGGTCATCCACCTCCCACTCAAATCTGAAATAAGTCATTAAACCGTCAACCTTTATAGACAAATTATACTTATATCAAGTTCAAATATCCACTTATATCAAGACAAATCAACTTGTATAACAACAATTCAGAGAACAACACTCGCAGCACAATTAGTAGGTATAACCTGTAATATTTGATCACTAACATTAACTATGATCGGTACACAATAGTTACTGTTCAAGTTAAATCATTTACCTATTATACAGTACAGCATTAATTTAGCACAATATTACTGGAAAAATACTATATTTAAGTTGAACTGAACCCCCTCCCCCCTAAAAATACCCCATTTGTTGGTACAGTTTCCTGCCTTTTCCAGTATTGTATTTTTAAAACGTATATACAGCGCGAGGTGGCCGACGGGAAGTGATATTGCAAGTGTCTCGAACCCCTCCGCGCCAGCAAGCTTCAGCCAAGGTCAAATATCCTACAAAGGTCATCCACCTCCCACTCAAATCTGAAATAAGTCATTAAACCGTCAACCTTTATAGACAAATTATACTTATATCAAGTTCAAATATCCACTTATATCAAGACAAATCAACTTGTATAACAACAATTCATAGAACAACACTCGCAGCACAATTAGTAGGTATAACCTGTAATATTTGATCACTAACATTAACTATGATCGGTACACAATAGTTACTGTTCAAGTTTAATCATTTACCTATTATACAATACAGCATTAATTTAGCACAAAATTACTGGCAAAATACTATATTTAAGTTGAACTGAACCCCCTCCCCCCTAAAAATACATCGTAACATTTAAACTATACACACTTTGGCTTCTACATTAGATATAATTACTTTGCCTAAACTACTATTCATGTAGCCTTACCACAGTAGCAGTATAAAATCTAACCTTACATGAGCCACTCTTTCTATAACAAATAAATATCCATTCTTGAAACTTATGAATACAACAAATTTTGCTCATAATTCTCTTCCAACAGGTTATGCAAGTCAGGAATATTGTACAACAATAGTTATGCTCACCTGTATAAGACTTCAGCCAATGTCAAATAGCCAAGAATGCTCTTACACCTCCCACACACTTCTGAAATAAAAAATGTCAACATTTATAGAAAAATTATTAAAATTTGCCCTTGTACAAGACTTTCTTTTTTCCCAAAAAATGTATCGCAAATTACCCTTCGTCTAATGCGCCGTAGGCGTAGCTGACTAGCTAGCAAGTCTGGGACGAGCAGTAGTGCACAAACATTACGTTCCTAATATTACTGAAAAACAAACAAAATAAGCACAAACTTACGGCAAATTGGACGAAGATGTAAATAATGGCTTAACAGCAGAGGGAACCTCACAGTATTCACCAATAAAACTATTTCTTTTTAACTATGGTAAATTTAATTTATGCTCACCTGTATATTGTATATAAACGCTTCAGCCAAGGTCAAATATCCTACAAAGGTCATCCACCTCCCACTCAAATCTGAAATAAGTCATTAAACCGTCAACCTTTATAGACAAATTATACTTATATCAAGTCCAAATATCCACTTATATCAAGACAAATCAACTTGTATAACAACAATTCAGAGAACAACACTGGCAGCACAATTAGTAGGTATAACCTGTAATATTTGATCACTAACATTAACTATGATCGGTACACAATAGTTACTGTTCAAGTTTAATCATTTACCTATTATACAATATAGCATTAATTTAGCACAAAATTACTGGCAAAATACTATATTTAAGTTGAACTGAACCCCCTCCCCCCTAAAAATACCCCATTTGTTGGTACAGTTTCCTGCCTTTTCCAGTATTGTATTTTTAAAACGTATATACAGCGCGAGGTGGCCGACGGGAAGTGATATTGCAAGTGTCTCGAACCCCTCCGCGCCAGCAAGCTGGGGCCGAGGCAGGCATTGCATGGTATGTCTGGCAGCGTAGGAAGACTAGAGGAAAAGCCAGTCAGCCAGCATTAAAAGAGTTCACCAGTTGCCCTCATATTAACACAATTACCAAGGTTTAAAATCGTGTAAAGTACCTTAGTATGAAATTTAAACTACTTTCTTACAAATGCTGGAGACTAAGGGATTTAGGTCAAGCTTATTTTGGGAAAAATCAATATTTTGACAACGTGAAAACTAACTTCTTCGTATCGTAAAGATGGTCTACATATTTAAGAATACCCTGTACAGTATCTATAAAGGCTTTTTAAAACCAACGAGCAGAGCATACTTTAAATATCTAATTATTTCAAAATAAGTTAACAATTACTCTATTTTTTTTTTAAAGGTGAACCCAAATCCTTAAACAAAACTAAGAAACCACAACGACAGCTATAGTACTGTACTTTAAGTTATAGCAGAATGTTTCCGATTTTGGGCAACAACAGTTCCGTTAACGGAAACTAACAGTCTTGTGTACTCATCTAAACGGTCCTGGAATGAATAATATTATAACTAAAAATTAAGTAATGTAGTCTTTGTACAACTGTAATGAAATAAAATAAGAACACACATCTACAGTACGTCTCTATAGCCAAAATATATACCAAATCTTGTGAAGTACGTCCGAATAAACACTTAAAATATTTAACATTAAATCTTCGTGAACATGAAATTAACCACAATTAACACATACCGCATAGGAACACGGTTGCCACATGTACGACAAGCTTCATGGCCAAATCTTTTTGGATGGAAAGCACAAAGCTATTTTTGCAATCCACACAAAATAAAAATCTCCCCCACAATATGCACTTAAAATGTCGCAACAAAACAAAATTTTCACTTATAATTCAGAGCCCAATAATTACATAAACATAATATCTGTAATCCACAGTGAAGACTTACCGTAAACTCAAATGGTGGTGGAGCATGATAATGGTGGAGTCCAGTTCGTCACCGTCCCCTGGTTCTTCCTTCTCGTACATGATTGCAGAGTTAAATAGCTCCACCATGTGTGGTGATACTTTCAAATCTCTGCAACATTTTCCTTGGAACTGGAGCATTTTCACTTCCATCACTGGCTATACTAACACAGACGAATTTTTCTTCCCATAATTTGTTATATTTTCTACCACTGTCGTAAGACACTTTGCAAAAACTAATGACATTTTGAAAACTATCAATCAGAATTTCAGAAAGTAACTCAGATGGCTTTGTAAACTATAAAGCAGGGGTTCTCAACCAGGGGGGGGAAAACCGATACTAATATGGAAAAAATAAAGGATTTTCAGTATTATATGCATATTATTTGGAATGCACTTTTTGAGGCAGACAATCTTGGAAAGGAGGGGGGAATGACATTCTGACATATGGTGAAAAGGGTGCATGAGGCAAACAAGGTTGAGAACCACTGCTATAAAGCTTAACCCATATGCTGGACACGTTCAGCCTGAACAACTCAAATATGAGAACTAACAAATAAGGCAGTAACTAGTAAGGACAGTCACCTTTCAATTGAGAAATTTGAAAATCTGTTAGACATGTCTTCAAAATCCACTAGATGAGGTATTAACACAAAATTCGGCCAAATAGTTTGGCCATGACCAACCACTTTCCACGGCCGAAGTAGAAAAATTTGACAACATAGCACAGGCGAGTCCCAGAGACAACTGATTCGAGTAAGTGACAGCAACAACGTCGTCGACCCTCCTCCTTCCCTCCCACCTCACACCACTTCGTCCGAATGATTAACTATAATACAAACTTCATCGTATATACAAATTTTAACTTAAATTTAAGGTCAAATAAGTCATTTATAATATTATTAAAATAAAATAAGAAAAAACAAATAAATAAATATGAAATTTACGTAAAAAAATTTATTATAAAAACGAATATTCAAGTCTACTTGCCTCCGAGGATTCGGACACAGCAAAGTTTAAGCTGCCAACATTACCTGTAAACAATACATAGTTAAATCCTTAAATAATCCTCCAATTTTAATATTTTTAATAGGAATTCACTATTTTTTTAATATTAACACAATTATTTTAAAATCAATAAATATTTAACTCGGAAAACTTTGCGGGGGATAAATACAGACTAATTACTTACCACTACTATAATGAGGCAATTGGCTTGTTTACGTGCATTCGTAATAGATAGATAAATTAATTTATTAGTGGTGTGTTTTAAACAAATTCAAAAGGAGCTGGTTAGTATGCTAACTAGCCCGCCCAAAACTACTCTTAACAAGAGCTCTTTAATATTGTACGTAATCATAAAACATGGGTTATACTCAGGGGGAGGGTAGTGGAAACAAGTGTGCCGACACAGGGCCAGGGGGCAGCAGTGCACCCTCCACCCACTCAACCCCCCACCCGGGAGGCGGCACCAGCTCAGCCTACCGGACAGGAGGGAACGAGCGCCGTGTAAACAATGACATTTCTAACCACACCCTGCAAAATACAGTGTACTTAGCAAATGCTGCAGCTTCTGAGAATGTGGGTGGAGCGGGTTTATTACTAAGAGCAGAGACGTTACCGAGAACAAATTCTGGCTTGAATGTCATGTACACTAATACCGACACGTTCCTGGATAAGAGGGAGGAGTTTGAAACACTACTAAGAGTACACCAACCAGATATTGTAGGAGTTGTAGAACTGTTGTACAAGAACAGGAGAATCGACCCAGAGGAATGTGAGTTCAGTATTGCTGGATATGACTCATTTACGAACCTAACTCAAGAATCCTGCAGGAGGGGTGTGGTTATCTACGCTAGGCAAGACCTTAGAGCCAGCCAGGCGAGGGTACAGGGAGAGGATGTCTTTGAAGAGTCCAAGTGGTGTAAAATTAAATTAAAGGGAGGGGACTTACTTATCGTCGGGTGTATCTACAGATCCCCGAACTGTGGCCCACTAAATCAAAGGAACTTAAGAACCTTAATAAACAATGCGGCGATGCTCAACCCCAGCCACCTCCTTATCATGGGGGACTTTAACTATGGCGACATCGACTGGAGAAACGAGTCAACCCCGAATGACTTGAATAATCCTGCTACTCTTTTTGTAGAAACTCTGAGAGATAATTTTCTGTTCCAACATGTGAGAGACCCGACACATTACAGAGGGGAGCAAACACCCAAGCCACTTGACCTCATCATAACAAACGAGGAGGGTATGGTGGCCAAACTGGAACACCTTGCCCCAGTTGGCACCAGTCACCATACAGTGTTGTCATTCAGATTTAACTGTTACCTAGTTCAAGATAAGGCCAGGCCAAGGTGCAAATATTACAAGGGAAATTACAATGGGATGAGGGAAGAGATGAGGGGTATCAACTGGCCTGACTTATTAAGGTACAAGAACGCAGACACTACGCTGAATATCATAACTAGTAAAATGACCCATTTGATCGATAAATATATACCCAAGACCAAACCCAGTGCTTCTAGGAATACGAGGGGATCCCTACACATGAACCATGCGGCGGTCGACAAAATTAAGAAGAAAACCCAGAAATTCAAGACGTGGGTTGGGTCAAACGATGAGCAAGACAGGAGGATGTATGCAAGAGCCAGAAACCAAGCAAAGATAGAGTGTAGGAGGGCTGAAAAGGAGTTCCAGAGGCTGGTTGCACGCGAGGTCAAGTCAAACCCAAAGGCGTTTTACCGCTATGCAAAGTCGAAATTGAAAACGCGAGTAGGAGTATCAGACCTGAGGCTTGAAGATGGTAGTTACGCAGATTCTGACCAGGATAAAGCTGAGGCATTGAACAGCTTCTTTTCCTCAGTGTTCACAAGAGAGGATGCAACTAACCTTCCTGCGTTTGAGGACAGACGGTTCGACACAGCACTGACCCACATTGTGTTCACAGAAGAGGGTATTAGAAATAAACTGTCCAGGCTAAAGGTCCATAAGAGTCCTGGACCTGACATGGTGCATCCTAGAGTGCTAAGGGAGCTGTGCAACGAGCTTGCAGAGCCCCTGAAGATTCTGTTTTGTAAATGCCTGGATGAACAAATGGTCCCCAGTGAATGGAAAGTGGCTTATGTGAGTCCTATCTTCAAGAAGGGCGATAGGCACTCCACGAACAACTATAGACCGGTGAGCCTGACCAGCATAATATGTAAAGTACTTGAGAGTATTATCAGAGATGCAGCGATGGAACATCTACTACGAAACAACCTTGTAAAAGATTGCCAACACGGTTTTATGCCGGGGCGCTCTTGCTTGACACAATTGCTCAAGGTATTGGATATTTGGACCCATATTCTAGAACGGGGTGGTAATATCGACAATATTTACCTAGATTTTGCCAAGGCTTTCGACAGTGTACCCCACGAAAGGCTGAAAATCAAACTGGAAGGGTACGGAATTCGGGGAAATGTCCTAGCGTGGATAGAAGACTTTCTACATGACCGCAAGCAATGTGTGGTGATTAATGGCACGAAATCGTCATCTGTACCTGTAACAAGTGGGGTACCGCAGGGTAGTGTATTGGGCCCGCTGTTGTTTGTTTGTTTCATAAATGATATGCCTGACGTTGTACACTCCTCCATACAAATGTTTGCCGATGACGCCAAGTTATTTCGGGAAATTAAGAACCAAGCGGACTGTGAAGAGCTGCAGAAGGACCTCTGTGGGCTCCAGGAATGGTCGAAGGAATGGCTGCTGAGATTCAATGTCACGAAGTGTAAGAGGATGCACCTGGGGCGTACCAACGGTAAGGAGGCGTACCATATGTCCCAACGGGATGAAGAAAATGTACTAGTTGAGACTGTGTGTGAGAAGGACCTAGGTGTGTATGTTGACAATGAGCTGAAGTTCTCGGGCCATTGTGAGAAGAAGGTAAATCAGGCAAATAAATTATTGGGTCTTATAAGAAGGTCGTTCAGATATCTAGACGGTCCGTCCCTCGTGACGATCTTCAGGAGTGAAGTGCTTCCCCATCTGGAGTACTGTCACCCCATCTGGTCCCCGAGATATGCTAGGGACTGTCAGTTGGTTGAAAATGTTCAAAGGAGGGCCACCAAGCTGGTGCCTGCACTTCGGCATCTCAGCTACCCTGCGAGATTGGAGCGCCTGAACTTGCCTAGCTTATACTACAGACGGGCAAGGGGGGACCTAGTTGAGGTTTATAAGCATCTCAGGGGGCACTACTCAGTTGAGTGTCCTTACTTGGAGCTGGCGGACGCTCGCCCCACAAGGGGTCACAGCTCAAGATTGAAGAAGCCGCAAGTCCGGAAAACCGTGAGGGCAAACTTTTTCGGAGTGAGGGTTGTAAACTCTTGGAACAATCTACCAGAAAGTGTTGTGACGGCACCGAGTGTGAGCTCTTTCAAGAGAAGACTTGACCAACACTGGAGCGGGTTCAGGTACATTCAGGAGCCGGTGCATGCCCAGTATTTGCCAACAGTGCGTGACAGAGACGTGACCGATCGCCCGGGCGGCTAGCGAGCCGACCTTTTGGTGAAGAATATAAAGGAAAAGAGTCGTGACCGATCGCCCAAGCGGCTAACAAGCCGATCAGTGGCGAAGAGGATAAAAGTAAAAGTAAAAACAGATATGTATACAACAAATAGATATGCATAAAATCTGCAAACTATAATCAAAATTTTCCGAATATTGTCCATTTCCCATTGCTGTCGGATTTTTACCATTCCAGATTTTATTCTTTTAATACTCAAAATACAATCATATTCTACAATTTATTTGCCACACCCTTGCTTCGCCAAATCATCAGCACAGAGAGCGCTTTGGCTGTCAACAAACCCAAAACTGTTTTTTGTCCTACATATATAGCATCCTTGACCACCGAAGGGTCAACACGTACCAGGTCAACTGTTAAGTTGGCCCATACCAACCCCCTCCCCTGAACCCTCATCCCCACAGGAATATCAACAAGTTCTCGCCAGAAGTTACAATTTCATTTAGGAAAGGAACGGAACCAATGTTAAACAGAGGTGAACAGTTCTTAAGTCAGTGAGAACAACTCAACAGTAACAGTCGTACCCAAGTTAACCTTCACACAGTGAGGTCCCAGGTAACCAGTGGTAACGGCCCGTGAGACCCGACAACAACCAACGATGTGTTAATCCGTCTACGATAGGAAGGCCTGGGACCACACCTCACTCATATAACACCATCTGTGAGGGAATTACTACACCACGTCATGTCCCCCATAACGCCATATGGGAGGGAATTACTACACCACGTCAAGTCCCTCATAACACCATCTGTGAGGGAGTTACTACACCACGTGAGGCCCCTCATAACACCATCTGTGTGGTAATTACTACACCACGTGAGGTCCCTCATAACACCATCTGTGAGGGAATTACTACACCACGTGAGGCCCCTCATAACACCATCTGAGGGAACTACATCACGTCAGGTCCCCCCCCCTAACACCATCTGAGAGGGAGTTACTACACTACGTGTTTGCTGTTCAACACCTACATTAATCTGTATGTTCTTTTACCTTTCTCTAATGAAGGCTTGTGTTAAACCACCAATGTATGTAATAAGTCATTTATGTCCAATGTATATTATCAGCCTTCGGGCTGCAGAACTTTTTCAATAAACCGTTAATTATTATTATTATTATTAAAGTTCATCAGTGGTGCTGGAACTTCTATCCCCAATTCTCTTGCATATTCTTTCGTAACACTAACACCACATTCAAAAATTTCCCTTATAACAATGCCACAACCGGTCCGATTCCCATTAACTGAACCGTCACAGTACATATGAATAACATTTCCCTTTTGGTACT